CCGCACTGGGGCTGCGCGCTGCCCCCGAGTGCGGCGGAGCGGGGGTCTGGGTCCGAGCTCGGCAGCCGCTGCCACAGCCCTTTCCTGCTCCGGGTCGTTTGCGGCCCCCAGGAGACCGTTGGAAGAAGGGGGCGGCCGGGCAACCGTCACGAATTCTCCCAGCGGCTCGAAATCCCCGCCCCGTGGGTCTCTGCGTCTCCTTGGCGACGCGCTGCGCAGTACGACTGCGCAACGCTGACGTCACGTGGGCCGGGGGGGGCAGAGGTGTTTTGGTTCTCGCCGCTCGCCGTCCTTCGCGGAGTCGGGAGTAGAAAGCTTCTGGTTCCTGTCTTCTCTTCCCCTTTCTCGCCCCCTTTCCGCGGCTCCCTCTCTCCTTCCCTCCCGTCTGCTTCTCGTTTTCCTACTGCTGCCCCGGGGCCGGGCCATTTTCCGGGCCGGGCGCACCGAAGCGCGCGGCCCCGGGGCCCCGTGTATGACCCGCTGCCCTACCAGCCCTCGCCTCCCCCGCCCCATGAGGCTGCGGGGCCGCGGCGGCGCTGCCCACTATGGCCCGGAAAGCAGTTAGCAGGAAGCGGAAAGCGCCTGCCTCGCCCGGAGCTGGGAGCGACGGCCAGGGTCCGCAGGTGAGAGCCGCGAGGCCGGGTGCTGGTGCTAGCGCCGGCGCCCAGGCACTAGGTGGGGATTAGGGTCCACAGATCGGGGCAGGAATATGGGTCCAGGGTCTTCAGAGGCCAGGAATAGAGCTCGAGGAGAAACCAGAGTCTTGGCTCTGGAGGAACGGGAAGCCGAAGTCGAGGGAAATGGGGAACAGAACCCACGACGAGAAGTTACTTCGAGGGAGGGAGAAGTCTGCCTTCCAGGGGCGCCGGGAAGCCGGGCAGATTGAGACCCTTGTCAAGGAGGGAGCCCGCAATGGATTACCCAAGCCTTCAGCTGGGTCTTCTGGCATTTGGACACCAAAAACAAACAGCAATCTGGTGTCATTCCTGTACCACCTCTTTTGGAGGGGAAGACCTTGACTTGGATTCTTTTTGTTTGTTTGTTTTGTTTGGTTTTTTTGAGACGGTCTTGCCATGCAGTTCAGGCTGGCCTTGAACTTACTTTATAGCCCAGGCAGGTCTCGAACTTGGAACGACCCTCCTGCCTCAGCCTCCCGAGTGCTGGGATTACAGGTTTGCACCACCACGCCCAGCTTTGGCCTGGATTCTGACTCTAATTTCCTGTGCCTCCTTGTTGATGTTTCCGTTTTTGAGTTCTACAACTGCCTGGAGCACTGGCAAAATGACAGAGGAACACTAGGGCCCTGTACTGGTAGTACATCCCTGCGAGACCCGAGGCCCCAGTCTGGCTCCTAGAGTCGCAGCCTTTACGCTCTGCGGCAGTACAGGCTGCGAGAAAAGAGGGCTGGTAGAGACGCGGCCTAGGTGGGTATGAAACCCACCAAGCCTCTCATTCTTCCCCTTCCCTGTGGAGGGTAGGTGCAGGTGTCTAACTCCGTCGCTCCTGAAAAGGCTGGTGAGCCTGTTGTCCTGGTAGGTCTCACTATGAACAACATCATTTCAATGCTCGAAGAGTTAACTAGAACTTTGTGGGCTGTGATTCCTATTGTGCTGTTTTTGTTGTTGTATGTAAGTCCTGCAGGATGAGTTCTTGGTTATTTTCTGGAATACAGTAGAATCCCTTGTTCTGAAAACAGGTAGCCAAAATAGCTAAAGTTCTGATTTCTAATACTGCTTTTAACAGTTTGCCTGGGATCATTCGCTTCACAAAAGGAAAAGGCTCCCCCCAGTGAAGAAATCCTTGGTGTATTACCTGAAGAGCCGGGAAGTCAGGCTACAGAGTGAAACCAGCTATTGTCGAGTGTTGCACGGTTATGCAGCACAGCAACTTCCCAGTCTCCTCAAGGAGAGAGAGTTTCATCTTGGGACCCTTAATAAAGTGTTTGCATCTCAGTGGTTGAATCACAGGCAAGTGGTGTGTGGAACAAAGTGCAACACGGTAAGTGTCTAGGGTTTGAGAACTTTCGCCTTCCTAGCTTTGCATGCTATAGTCTAGAACCTCTCACTGCACGGTTCCCCGTTTCTTTTTTTTTTCTTTCTTTCTTTCTTTTTTGAGACAGGGTCTCCCTATGCAGTTCAGGCTGCCTTGAGCTCACTTTGTAGCCCAGGCTGGTCTTGAACTCG